CCACAACCCCCCGGGGCAGCCTGTCCAAGTGCTCCATCACCCTCAGAGGGAAGAAGTTCTTCCTCGTGTTCAGACGGAACGTCCTGTGCTTCAGTTTGTGCCCATTGCCCCTTGTCCTGTCACTGGGCACTACTGAAAAGAGTCTGGCCCCATCCTCCTGACACCCACCCTTCCGATATTTATACGCATTTCTAAGGTCCCCTCTCAGCCTTCTCTTCTTCAGGCTGAACAAGCCCAGCTCCCTCAGCCTTTCCTCATAGGAGAGATGTTCCAGTCCCCTCATCATCCTTGTAGTCCTCCGCTGGACTCTCTCCAGTAGCTCCTCATCTCATTACGTAGAGATAAGACACATAAGGCTAGTTACTTCTACCTTATGTAGTCACTCACATACACATACAAATAAGTCTAGAACTCTAAGTTAGGTAAAATCAGTTTTTACAGATATGACTAGATACACAAAGAGCCACTTCAGATCCACATCTTCCTCCTCCAGTGAGATCTCAAATCAAACACTCTCCTCAAATCATTGCATCCCCACTCAAGCAGAGGTACATCCCATTACGCCTTTTCCACTTAAGGGGCATTACTCATATACCCATGTCTGCCAGGTGTGCTTGTGTGCTCAAGCAGACAAAGAGCTTCAGAGGCACCACTGACTACAGCTCAAACTGCCTTTACTTCTGTCAGATGAACAGCTGGCAAAGTTATTCGAAAAAACTTACTTGAAACCTAATTCTCTCCTGATATTTTAATGAACTTCATTGTCATTGCATCTCAACAATTGGAGATCACTTATTCTTCCATGAAAAATTATACATTTAATACATATGAATCAGAGTGCACAAAGAATTTTTTTTTAAGTACTTCACGACTAGCTGGTCCAAGAACCAGAAAACAATAGTTTAAGAGTATTAAAAGGAACTAACAAAATTAAAGAGACAGGAAGACTAGAAGAAGGGGTGAGGACAAAGTGGAGAAGAGGACACAACAACTTTGGTGTTGTACCCAAGCCTTTAGAAATATCAGATTATGATTACATTAACTAATTGTTAATAGGCCTAACTTCTATAACATGCAACATCAGTAAAATGGTAAATATCATAAAGCAACTTCAAAAATAGTTTTGAAATTAGGTAAAAGATAGATCAGATAGCATAATGTGTCATCATTATGATCCACGTTTTCTAAATTCCCCAAAACTGGGAAAGACACTATGACAGTGGCATGCTCAAAGAAAAGTGTGTCAGACAAGAACAGAATCCTTGGCTTTGAAACGGAAGGACAAAGAAAAAAGCAAAACTCCTAAGCGTGTAGTAGTCTAAACAAAATGTAAAGGCTTACAACAGCACTAAAACTAGCTGCACCAGAAGAGAGAACCTTTAGCGTTCTCTATCCAGCTACCCTAGGATTGAAAGCAAAATCCACAGTTATTCTAGAAGGGTTTTAGCAGACACTCGTCATTTTTCTACTCTCAAAATAAACATGTTCAGCAAGTTATTACAATAAGAAATTTCAAGTATTCCTGTGGGTTCAAACTCAGTAAACTTTCACCTGTTTGATGGTCACCACAAAAAACACTTGCCACCCACATTCCTTGAGCTAAGAAAGGATTGAGAATTCCTCCTTGTTTTACCTTAAGAAGCTGACTTCAGAAGCCCTTGTAGCTTTGTTCCCAGTATACATATCTAGCTAGTTTCTAACTAAAGCAAAAAAGAGTCTAGATCCAGTTTCCACATGTTGGACTTACCACTAAATAACTGGGAAAAGATCACATGCAGGAAGGCTGCAGATCAACACTGAGAAGTCTTCAGACTCTGGTCTACTCTAGGCTTGTGTGAGCTTCATTAATCGATATCACGCTCTTCTCATGATCTGGACAACAGACTCTGTGTGTTATGGTGCTTATCTCTATTTCAAAAGAAGGGCACAGTCTTCCATCCCCACAGAGCTAAAGGGGAGGGAGTGGGGCAAGGGAAAGGAAGTCTCATATTGGAGACTCCAACATGGATAAAGCAGATCACCTCCATTGCTCACTTGTCTTCCCGCCCCTGTTCTCTAACAAAAAGTGCTTTTCCTGTAAAGTCTATTGCACTTGAGAAAAGTCTATCTGTAAATAGCCACAATTATTTCCTTTTTCTCCTCAAAAGGCAGAGGAGTTAGAGGGCTTTTGCTGAAGTCATGCATCCGCTACCATGCCAGTATCATTGGTGAGCAGCGGCCAGCATAGTCTGCTCATGCTCCATTACTGATCTGTAGTTGGCTCCCGTAACACCTGTAGGCAGACACAGGTTGTGTTTGTACAACATGTAACACAAAATACTTACAATGCAATGGTAATACAACGCTGTCCAACAAGCAACATAAAAATTCTATTTTCACAACATAAAAAGGACTAAAAGTTCTAGCTAGGAACAACAATTCCCCTGAGCTGTCTGCTCTGTTGGTCCCTGGAGCCTGATCATGCATCAGCTGTGTGCAGAGGGGAAGACAACTGGCTTGAAGCACTAACTGAATTCTGAAAAAATAGATAGTATCAATTTGCATCTAATCCTTTGACTGACATTTAGAAGAAAAACTATATTAACTTATATTAAAAAATCTATTCACTGGCTAAGCAGTAACAGTGAAAATACGCCAGAGTTATCTGTATCCTTCACAAGCAGTCACTGAAAACTAGATTAGTGACGTTCTTTTAAAACTACTAGCCTGGGTAAGCTTAGGACTTGCTTCCTTCACTTCCATCACATCTGTTGACATCATCTTTGTGGTGCTACACAGAGAACAGTAGTTCCAAGTTTGTATGTTTTGGGAATTTCAGATTAAAATCTTTTACATGAACTGCCTTTTGGTTTTACCTTTAAAGAGAAAATATACTTTCTTGTTTATTTGCCCCCAAAGCAATTATTTTATTTTTTAAAAAATTCTGGTGAGAAGTGTATTTCTCCCATAGCTTACACCAGTGAGATGCCCTCTCACTCTAAACTTCAGGAATACTAATAAGACCTTCCCTCCTAAAACCATGTAGCCACCAGAAACACTAACACATTAAATTGTTATTAAAAAAACCAAAGCAAAATACTCCACTAACTTTTCAACAGTACTGGGGGCAGGAGTCTGGTTCCTGCCTTCGTCCAGTTATTTCAGACAAAAATGGGGTTAATGTAATAGAAACAACAGTCACATTTACTTTACCACTCTTCTGTTACTACAGTCTAAGCAGCAGAAATTTTTGTTTGAATTTCAGTTTCAATGAAGTCTTTAGTATAGGCTATAACTATATTCAGGTTCCCAATATAAGCCACATTAATGAAGTTCTTGCTCCAACACACACACACACACGTTGTGCCTCCCTCCAAATGACGACCACAGCCTATCACAGCCTCCTCAGTATTTACGCCGTATCACAGCTTAGCTTAATCTAACATTAAGAGTTAAGTCTCCCCCATGCCTCTTATTCTTGGAATAACAGAACACCAAGTAAAGACTTTTTACAAAGAAGTTCTCATTTCTATTTTTTCATGTCTGGCTTCAAAAGCATTCAAAGGTAACTGTGACAGACTTTCTGTATTTTAATGTTAACCCCATAAGCATTATTTATAGTCTTAATTATATTTCCAGTACATAACACAAGACAGATACTTCTCACTTCAGTTTCCCTTAGTAACCATGAATGTGAAAAGCTGACTGCAGCACAGTTTGAGGGTCATTTCAAGAACAGAACAGGCAGAGAAAGGCTCCATTTTCAGACACTGCTGCGGAAACAGATGCGTACAGTAAAAGGTACAGATCTATGAAAATTAAGAGAACGCCAAGAAGGTCAGTATCAAGATATAGCTCCTTCCTGTCCCCATGTCCGTCCCCCCTACCCAGCTTCGTTCTGTTATTTCTTCTTATGTCAACAGATTATTAATAATGCTGAAAGCAGGGAACTTGAACATGATTTTATGATCAATGTCATTTACCATTTCTAACTAGTTATCTAAAAGTGAACCAGTCAGATTAGCTTGGTTTTGTTGAAAAAAAAAAACCAACAACAAAAACAAACCTTAAAGGAAAAAACCCAAATAAAATAAGAGTTACTCAAGTACTACCAGCTAATTCCAGATTTGATTCCTGTTAAAATAAGCTATCAGACACACAGAATTCTAAGATTAAAGGTAATGCACATTACTGTTTTGCTTACATTTTATAATGAAACTTTTAAGTCTGCACTTGCTATGCAATGACATTCTAACAATAGAGCAGCAACTTACAGAATATTCAATAGTCCCTTTAGGCTTTTGAAAAGACATTCGTCGCCCATCTTTCTTGTCTGGGGTCTTCTTCTGGCCAGTGTCTGAAAAAAATTGAGGCAACGTGCGTGTTAAATTCATTTTCCTCTCTCAGTACAGTCACAGGCTGCTGACAAGAGCCCCGTGGGCAGACATCTAATTCACCAGCTACACAGCTTGCTCCCGGTGACTCTGCCTAACAGACAGCTGGCTGCTAGAACAGGGACTTCATTCCTCTGCGATGCTTTAAGAATTTGACCAATATAAACCACTGCTAACTGGGAATCAATTAACCACATAAGTACTTGCTGCTATCCAGGAAGCTATTAATGAAGGAAGACTAAGTAGGAGATTGACCCCATAAGGCAAGCAACATTTCTCTAACTACTGTATTTAATTGGTTTTATATCGTACCCAGTCTGCTTTTGTCTAGAGGGGAGATGATCTAGAGATCCTGTATCCTTAAATTCATCAGCTGGGATTTTTTGTTTAAATGCTGCTTGGTAAGTACAGGGTATTTAAAGCTTTTTTTGTACAACAAAGAACATTAGTATTTAACTTCACAATTACCCTGTCTGTAGCAAACACATACAGCCTATGCATAAACAATAAAGATTCTAAAGAAATAACACAAGTTAACAACTGCTCTTTTTACTGAGGCACAGTATTTTGATGACTTTCATTTCCTAAATCAAATCAAAAACAATTTATACCTGAAGTATACTCTACTTTTTGATATTAACTGGCTTGGTATTTATGACAAAGACAACGAAACAGTGTACCTCCGTGATTCAACAGAAAGCATTTAATCCTACATCTCTGGAAAAGTGGGGGGTTTTCACACAGTCATATACACACATGAATTTTTCAAGATGAATCTCTTCAGAACTTTGGTCTCTGTCACAAGGCCTCCACCTTCAACAGTTACATTTCTGCTATTAAGGACCCTACCTGCACGAATTCCATATACCCACCCCAACTGCCCTCATTTCTACACGGATAGTGTCAAAAAATAAGAAACAAAATAAACACATGAAAAAATAAAATCTCATCAAATATCCTATATTTGCTACAGTGGGCAAGCTACAGAGGGCCACAATAAAAGTGATTACTAGCAGATGCAAAATTAGTATTCTCCTGGGATGTTGTTTATATAATAAAGAAATAAACATTGGACTAATTCTACTTTTCTTACATATTGAAAAACGTCTGAGGGTGAATGTTCCCATAGCTACAAGATAAAAATTGATCTATTGATGGTATTAATTATGGTAAGTTTTAATAGCTATGAACGACTGTCAAGACATTAAGCCTGCTTCCAAAAACTTTCTAGAAATTCTGAAAATCTAAACACTGTAACTCTACATCGTACTATGCTCCTGTAACACATTAAGAGGTATCTCTTCCATTATTTGCACTAATCCCAGCTTTTAAAAAGTTACCTACAGGAAACTTCTGTTTCTGATTATATAAACAGTTTTTAAAGACACTACAAATGTCTCTAGGGGAAGTTAAGCTAAATCAGCAGTAAATAAAACACACTAGTAGTTTGTGTGCAGACTAATAGCAGCCAACATTCTCCTCTTCCAGGTCATATATTTTGTTACCAAAGTTTCTACCTGACCTTGCACCACAACAGGTGCCTCCTCGGCAAGCTACTGAAGAACTGCAACAGCTACTAGACCAGAGCTGGTCCAAATTTTCAGCCCATATCGAAGCTCTGCCAGCAGCCTAAGCATTTTCTTTCAACAGCAGCCTAGTCGAAATACTCTTCAGCAAAAGTCAAAGGATGCAGCTGAAAAAAGACCGATCCCGGGCAGGATCCCACACATGCCTTAATAATCTACACACAGAGAGCTCCTGTTGAACAAGCATCTTCTTCCCCTGCCCCCACCCCCATCAGACAGAAATAAAGAAATCCCATATTACAAATGTATGTATGCACTTCAGTTGTACATAGTCCAATGTTGTTTGTAGGTTTTTTTTCCTAGCCCAAATTTAAGTTTCCTTTTTCTTCTTACTAGTTCATCTATAAATGTCTAAAGAGTTTGTAGATAGGTGCCACTCAAGAGGTCAAGTTATCTTCTCTGTTTCCAGTAACTGAACAGCAGAACGAAGTCTTGCACAAATAACCACTTCTGTTCCTTATGTCTGAAATAAATAAGGAAAGTTATTTGTTCTTCAGGGCAGAAGGACCTGCTGCTTTAGACTTCAGAGCACTCTGGTAACTTCAAGCGAGTAAGAGCAGCCAGGGGTAAGGGTGGAGGAGGAAGGTCCCTGCTGGAGGCACTGTGGAGGAAAGCAGATGCCAGGAGAGCTCCTACCACAAATTCCCCAGGAGCTTATAATCTGCAGTTTTTCATAGGTTTTTTTATTGTCATCCCCTCCCATACCTAAGATGGTAATTCCTACCCTTCCCACCAGTGTCCACGTTCATTCCTTCCCCCTGCAATAGCATTATTTTCCCCTCACTATATGGATACAGGATTCAAGTGTTTCATGACCTACTGTGACCCGAGTCCCTGAGTCACGAAGAGACAGAGGCAGGCAGTGCTGAGCAACGTGGGCGATGACTCCCCACCAGCCGAGCGCCGGTCTTGGACACAAAACTAGCAGGTATTCCAGCAGTGAAAACAGGTCAGAATAGTGGAAACACGAATTCAGTCTCCCCGACGGCATACTGCAAAGCCTCCAACAATCTCTCACTGAACGAGCAGGCTATTTATTTTTGGGGGGGAAGTAAATGCATCTTTCAGCCATTCTTGTGCCCCAAGTATTCTAGGAAGCATATGAAAGCAGAAACCACTGCCAGCATAGGATGCATTGGTCTGGCAAGACCTCAGCACCAATGGGAATCAGCCTCATCCTTTTGATTCACTTTTTTTCCTGATAACTCCGCTGCGCGTGAGCTCACCTTGTTAGGTTACCCTCCATCATTACCTCACCTGCCAGCAGCAAGCCAGTGAGACTACCAAAGGCTGATGTTCTCAGATGACAGGTACAATCAAAGCCTGACACCACCAATCAGTGCTGCGCACCACCTCAAGGGTCAACAGTACCTTGTTTAACAAGGGGACCTGTGGTGCTAGGTTATCCGATCTCCAGCCGTGCTGTTCTGGACTGAAACAAGACCAGACCTTTTGTAACACCAGGGCTGACGCTTTAATTCTGAAGTACCATTTTGCAGGAATGGGCCTCCACAACAGCTTGAAACACTTTTGTGAACAAGTACATGCCAGATTCACAAATGACAAGAAAATGTTTCAACTGTCTAGGATTTAAAAGACTAGAACTAGAAAGAGGCAGAAGGCAGTGTTCAAAATTACACCAGACCAATATTTACTCTGAATGCACGCATACAGAAACTTCAGATTAAACGACTGTAGCATAATAATGGGCTACATATGATCATCAACATAATCAGAGTAAAGCACTCACTGTTCCAACATATTTATACGAGATAGGAAAAGGGTTTTTAGGAACATTATGTTTCAGGAACAGTTTTCAATGAGGCAGCTTTGACCTTAAAATATATAACAGTCAGTGGCATTATTCAACTGAAATTTGAAAACAACTGTTGTCTTATATATTAAATATATATATTAATATATAATGTAACAAGTTAAATTCCAACATTTATTGAGGGGGTTCTACTAACTGCCTCTGTATGGCCCTGTGCCACTGAAATTTGGTTGACTGAAAATATTCCCCTGGCACTACTTGTTCAAATTGACTTGACCAGAGTGACATTTCTCATTTCTTAGTATGCCATCCGAGCTGAATTGCAGACCTTCAGTTTTCTGTCTCCTGATGCTTCTAGCACATCCTTTGAACTTCCGGCAATAAGAGCTGGCAAAGAGAACAAGATTTGTATTGAGTAAGAATGCAACGATACATGCTAAGAACTGCTTGGGAGCATCTTCAAGGTCTGCATATATATATTAAATTTTCTGTTACCCTACTCTTTTTCTGCAAGATAAGCTTAAAACTCATATAACTTGCGGTGTTTCTCACCTGCTGATCTTCTATTTGTTCCAATGTTAACAGAAATTACACAGATCCCTTTTTGCAGAGGAGTAAGCCAAACAAGCATCCTCTGAGATAAAGCAAGTCAACAATTAATGCAAACTGTTTACAGTTAATAACTGAGCTTATTATGGTCAAGAAGATGAGAAAAAGATCATTTATCCCCACCCCCCCACAAGAACTGCAAATTATGCATTTAGATTTACATGTGTTTAAGAAAAAGGCAGAGGCAGCAGCCTTGTTAAACGCTTGTCTAGGACACAATTTTTCACAGGATCTTAAAAAAAATGCAGCACATATGGGGTAAAGATTTTTAAAAAACTGAATCACAAGAAAGTAAGGAAAGAAAAGTAGTCTGTCTCTGAAATAGTCTCACACACATTGTTATTTAGCAGCACAAGAACTAACTTTCTAATTGATAACACAGGGGAAGCATAAATATTACATCTTTATTAGATTAGTTCTGCTCAGTAACAATTAGATCTTTATAATCTATCCATAAAGAAACAAAAAGACTCCAGTAGGAAACCTTTATAGTCCATAAGGCTTGGTGACTTGGGGATCCTAACAACAGGGGTTACATCTCAGCGGAGCAACCATCTCATTGACCCCTCTCCCCCTCCCGCAGTTAGATTTGCTTACGTTAATTATGGGAATCTGCCAATGTCTTCGGAATCAGCAACAAGGAGGCCGTAACAGCAGCCTGCAAGATCCTAGTAGCCTGCAGTTTTCTAGCCACAATGGTAGGTTTTCAGACCAAAGCAGTGTCATAAACAATGCCCCCTTTAGTCTCCTCTTGCTTAGCAACTGCTAGTTACTCTGTGATTCAGTCCTTCCTAGCAAGTCACGATCTCAAAACTCTTGATCCTCATCACTGCTCTCCACATGATTCTTTTGTTCACATTTTTCTTAAGCAAAACCCCAAGCTAAATGCATCCAGGACCTCGTTAATGCTGGATCAGCTCTTCAAACGCATCAAAATAGCTTTTTCCTGCAACAGATTCAGCACCGATTCAAGTTCATTTTGTGATCCCCTTCA